ATATTATGAACATAATTCGTGGGCCATGGGTAGTAAAAATCATTACTAATCTGATAAATTAGTTTTACCTGTAAATATAATTAAAATACAAATTATATTCTTATTAAAAATATTAGCTTAATTTAGATTCTGAGTGTAGTGATGAATATATTGATTTAAATAATGTGTAATCTAATTTATTTTTTTTTTTTTATAATTTGTACGATAATTCTACCAGAAATCTTGCTCTGATTTATACGCTCGTTATTATATCTGAAGGGGAATGTTGTCCAGATGGTACTTTTTGAAGGTTATTTTTTAATATCCAAGCGGTTTTTATAATATCTGGAAAAAACGAGGACAAACCGCAAAAAAATGGGAAATTTATGAAAATAATGCTATTATTTTTTTTTTCAATTTTTTTATTTGTTGTAATATTATATTAAAAATATTCATAGAGACTCGAAATTTGAACTTCTCCGAATTTTGTTACATTTGGACATCGAATATCATCGGAAATAGAAGTCGAATTCTTAAATTTATTAACTATTATAACATCCCTAAAATGAAAATCTCTTGAAACAGGCACACTCTTATAGTCTTAGTTATTGAATTATATTGGTTTTTTAAAAAAATTAATATTATAGCGAGTGATACATAACGCTAGGGAGTGACAAAATAATTTATGTACACTATCATTTCTGTTTGAAATTTCAGTTTTTTTTGAAATAAAATACATGAATTAAAACAAAAACTTTAACTGCATAAAAACATATGTCATAATAGTATAATTAAATATTGTCTTACATAATGTATGTTTGTCGTAGCTGAATGGTTTTACAGAGTGCCGGAGCAAAAACTACCACGTTCGAGATAAGCGTAACTTTGGAAGGGGGCGTCGCACAATATTGCCGAACTTCTCATTGTATAGTACGTAACAGAAAGTTAAGTATAATATCACAATGGAGTATTAAATATCGCTCGTTCGCCGTAGAGCCATATTTTCGAAACAACTACCACTTTTTTAGTGAAATTCGGTTGGTTTTCCGCCAGTCGTTTGAACAGCTAATTATTAAGACAATATTATTTTTATTGTTATTATTTTAAAATAAGTATTGTAAAATTCGGGTGACTAACCGAATCGCTAAACATTTCGTTCAATCGATTCTGGGGGTCTTTGTTTTTCTTCGGTCTGATCAAAAGGTAAAGTTTGTTTTTATAACATTTTCTAAAAATTAATAAATTATAATTATTGTTTCAATAAATTATAAATCGAATCCAATATAAACTATAAATGTATAATTATGTGTTTTGAAGTTTTATCCTCTGATATATTTAGAACAGGATGTCGGGAAGTTAGGATACATAAATTTAGTTAAATGTTTATCATTGCGTACAGATAAAAATTCGGTTGGTTATTTGTTGGAAGTTCGTGATTATTTTAATTTTCGTCTAACATTGAACGGATAAATACTTGTTTAAAAAAAATTACCTCATTTTTCTATATTTACTTTTGAACCTCGCTTTAAATTCACAATTATTCTGTCTCGGCCAAAAATTTATGTTTACATAATTTGAAAAATAGTACGCAAAAATTCAGTATTTTTGCAATTTCCTTTGAAATTTAAAATAAAGCGGACAATTAAAAACTATTACATTACGCTTTACATTCGTAAAGAAAAACTAAGATAAAAAAAAAAATAGAAAATTACGTCACGACAATACGTGAAATTGTACATTTTTAAAAACCATTATGGAAATTAAAAAACTACCGACTCAATACAAACACTACATTCATAATATTACCAAGACTCCTATAATTTTTTGATTGAAGCAAATTGATTCTTGCTAAAAATTTGTTAACAGATAGGAAACAACAAATGATTATAAAAATTGACTCACCTAAGAAGTTTTTCAACTAATACGTGACCTACAATACCCGTGGCGCCAGTTAAGAAAACGTTGGTACCACTAAAAAATTGCTGTATTTCGCTTTTTGGTTCATCTACAGTGTCCGGCATCTTTTCAAAGAAGTTATCGGTATTACGCGCACTCCAATGTTGTTCGTTTCAAATTTCGATGAACTACAAATTGCAATATGTACCAGTATAATAAACTAAGTAGATAAAAAAACGAAAAATATAAAATGATCCTAACGAATAATGTTATTGAATTACCGTTGTCAACTTCATACAAATATTTGGAATATATTTTATAATTTAACTTTACAATAGAAAAACTGGCATGCTCAAATATTATTTCTTGATTATTATGTATTATGAATTATTTATTTATTCGGATTATTATTATTATACCCAATCAGTTTGTTAACCTTACGTATATCCTATTTCTACATGGAATAATATGCAAATATAATATGATTTGCTTTTATTTAAATTCATTATACATATTACATACGTTTTGAAAGGTGAGATGTTAGGTGACATCGCATAACGAACACCAAAGATGGAACACCTAAACCGTTTTCCATGAATCTTCGTATATTTTGGTATGGTAAAAACACTTCACTACTAAAAACGAGTNTTGTCTCCACAAGTTTTCTAGGATTTAGTTTTAGGATTTATTATTGTAACTAATATTTACGCGAGCGTTTTTTTCACTCAACAAGAGTGGCTGAATTTCCTTTTACTTTTTTTACGGTGTTCATAATAATATTTTCGGATTTATGTTCATTATGACATAATGACGTGTCAAACTTGAAAGTATCGTGATGCACGAGCTTTACAAACTACAAGTTTAGTATCTAGTATTAACTATCGATATTATCATTAATCAAGATTCCAACGGTCGTTAGAGTTTGATCATATGCAATTTTATTGCCGAAACTGTCAATCGAACTTTTCTGTCTGACAATAAAATAATAAACTAAAAACAAAATTATTCAACTGGTTAACACTAGTAAATAGATATTATATAAAATAAAAATAAATAAATGAATTAATGCGTCACCTGGAGTATTATGATAATTGTATTTTACATATTAGGCATTTATCAATTAACATAACAAATAACTTAAACAACGAATTATAAAAGGCTACGTATCGGTCATAAACTTTTATTCAAAATATCTTTTACAATTTAGGAAATGTGTATTGTGTGGCACACAAGTAGATATTATGAATATAATTCGTGGGCCATGGGTAATAAATATCATTATTAATCTGATAAATAAGTTTTACCTGTAAATATAAATAAAATACAAATTATATTCTTATTAAAAATATTAGCTTAATTTAGATTCTGAGTGTAGCGATGAATATATTGATTTTAATAATGTGTTATCTAATTTATTTTTTTATTTTTTTATAATTTGTACGATAATTCTACCAGAAATCTTGCTCTGATTTTTTGCTCGCCATCATATCTTAAGGGGAATATTGTCCAGATGGTACTTTTTGAAGGTTATTTTTTAATATCCAAGCGGTTTTTATAATACCTGCAAAAAACGAGGACAAACCGCAAAAAAATGGGAAATTTATGAAAATAATGCTATAATTTTTTTTTAAATTTTTTTATTTGTTGTAATATTATATTAAATTCGTAGAGACTTGAAATTTGAACTAAAAAATTTTATTTAGGTCATTCTCCGAAATGTATAATATTTTGTCATCGAACAACATCGGAAATTGAAGTTTAATTCTTATACTTGTTATATTAAGTGAAAAATCAACTTTTTTCTATCTATCCAAGCAAGAAAAGCTTAAAAATAAGTATAGTAAGTTGAGCTATTTCTAGAGGTTTAAAATCACTGCAAGACTACGTAAATTATAAAAAATAACATCCTGGCTGTACATTTTTGATACGCTCAAGGGAGTGCCCGTCAATAAAAATATTGCATCACACTTCCACACAGTTCACGTATGGGAAGCAACTGATAAGGTTACAAAACAAAATAAAGTGACCCACGGGTTTCGTAATTGATAACAATTTTACCACGCAAGTTATCAGAACAAAATTTAATTTTCTGAAAATGTCGACGGGAATTTATAAAACTAGCTGGGAAGTTATATCAAACTATGTGACACTGGTAAATATGTTATTATGACTGATTCATTTTATCTAAATTTCCAATTATTTTTTAATTCAATACCTTATGTGTAACTGAGAAGAATGGTACCCAAATATAAAGTTCTACGTGAAAGAAAAAGTTGCTATTATCTTTTTAATGCAACACCTTGGTTTTGTGACAGGACTAGGGAGGGATAATATTAGTATAACATATTTTCTAATTAGGTACCTAATAATTGTTGAAACGTCAAAGTAAAAAGGAAATCTTGATCACAAGTAAACTAACGAAGAAAAAAAAAATTCAACGTTATTCAGGCATTTATATTTTTTAATACCTCTGTGACTGAAATATCACCAAATTTGGAGAATGACTCATGTCCTTTCTAGACATAGTAAAATTTTCAAAAAATTTAAGCCAGTTCTGAGCTATTTATAGACTTTTTAATTTACTGAGTTGTGTACGTAATTTTTATTCGGTAAGTACTCTGTAGTAAAATGATTGGACTTAACAAGAATGCTTGAAAAATAAACAGGAGGTTCATAAAGAGTCTAACTTTGTGGTCGAAAAAAGAAAATTTGAGTTTAATGTAGTATTTTTTATAATAATATTTTGTATATTAAAATTTAATATACAAAATTTTAATGAAAATTGTTAAGTAAAAAATAATGTGAAAAAAATGTAATTTTTCAATTTTTTTTTTTTTTTTAAACATAGGTATATTGTCGATTTCAGAACGATAGTGAAGTCAAAATTAAGCGAACTAAGTCGCTAAAGTACAAACTTTTGAATTTTTGATATTATGTGTTATGGTAAATAACAAATTATAGTCTTATTTAATGAATGCTTGTCGTAGCTGAATGGTTATACAGAGTGCCGGAGCAAAAACGACCACGTTTGAGATAAGCGTAACTTTGGAAGGGGGCGTCGCACAATATTGCCGAACTTCTCATTAAATAGTACGTAACAGAAAGTTAAGTCAAAATA